ACTGACCCTTGCGGAACACTGCTCATCACCGGCGCCATCCTGAGAAAGACCCCTTTATCCCTACTGTCTGCTTTCTGCCAGACAGACAATCTTCTATCCATGTTAGCACCTTGCCTGTAACACCGTGGGCCCTTATCTTACTCAGTAGCCTCCTGTGTGGCACTTTATCAAAGGCCTTCTTGAAGTCCAGGTAAATAACATCCATTGGCTCTCCTTGGTCTACCCTGCTTGTTCCTTTCTCAAAGAATTTTAGCAGATTTGTCAGGCATGACCTCCCCTCGACGAAACCATGCTGACTTTGCCCTATTTTACTATACACTTCCAAATATTCAGAAATCTCATCCTTTGCAATGGACTCCAAAATCTTGCCCACGACCGAGGTTAGGCTAATCGGCCTGTAATTTTCTGTCTTTTGCCTTACTCCCTTTATAAACAGGGGTGTCTCGTTAGCGATTTTCCAGTCCTCTGGGACCCTCCCTGACTCTAGTGATTCCTGAAAGATCACCACTAATGCTTCCACAATCTCTTCAGCTGTCTCCTTTAGAACTCTGGGGTGTAGTCCATCTGGTCCAGATGGTTTGTCCACCTTCAGGCCAATCAGTTTTACTAGCACCTTTTCCTTGGTGATGACCACCATACTCAGCTCTGCCTCCTGACTCTTTTGAATTTTTGGGGTATTACTCGTGTCTTCCACCGTGAAGACTGACGCGAAGTAATTATTCAGTTCCTCAGCCATTTCCTAGTTCCCCATGACCATCTCTCCACCGTCATTTTCCAGTGGTCCAATGTCCACTTTTGCCTCTCTTTTGCCCTTTATATACCTAAAGAAACTCTTACAGTCTTCATTTATATTACTGGCTAGTATTTATACTACCCCCATATTTAAGCTTCTCCCTCCTTATGTCTTTTTTTGTTGCCCTCTGTTGGTCTTTGTAAGCTTCCCAGTCCTCTGGTTTTCCAATGCCCTTCGCCACATTATATGCTTTCTCTTTTGCTTTTATGCTATCCTTGACTTCCTTAGTCAGCCATGGTTGCCTCATCCTCCCTGTACCATGCTTCTTTTTCCTAAGGATGAATTTTTGCTGCGTCTCCTGAATTACTCCCAGAAACTTGTGCCATTGCTGTTCCACTGTCTTTCCTGCGAGGCTCCTCTTCCAGTCAATTCTGCCCAGCTCCCCCTTCATACCTCTGTAGTCACCTTTATTCAGCTGTAATACCATTACCTCTGATTATATCTTCTCCCTGTCAAATTGCAGAGTAAATTCTATCATCTTATGATCACTGCATCCTAAGGGTTCCTTTACCTTAAGCTCCCTTATCAAGTCTGCCTCATTGCACAACACCAAACCCAGTATTGCCTGCTCCCTTGTGGGCTCCACCATGAGCTGCTCCAAAAAGCCATCTCGTAGACATTCCACAAACTCCTTTTCTTGCAATCCACTACCAACATGATTTTCCCACTCCACCTGCATATTGAAATCCCCCATGATCACTGTGACTTTGCCTTTCTTACACATCTTTTCTATTTCCTGGTGTATCTTGCACCCCAGCTCCTGACTACTGTTTGGAGGCCTGTACACAACCCCAACTATGGTTTGTTTTTTATCTTTGCGGTTCATCGGCTCTCATGGTGCTGCATTCTGTTTCATCATCTTCGTCTCCCGCTTCCACTTCCCCTTCAGTGACAAGTTGTTGAAGATCAGCTGTAGAGTAGTCTTTACAGTGGGACTCAAGCAGCTCTTCAACATTCCCACTCTCCACTTCTCCAAATCCAACTTGCTTTGCAAGATGAACACAATGTTCTTTGATTCTTGGGAGCTTTTCTGACAGATCAAAGGTTTTAAAATCTTGAAAAAAATCTGGGAGAAGCTTCCTTGAAACTGCATGCAAGCACTCCTTACTGACATCACCCGAAGCCTCCATGATAATGTCAGTTTCATTCTTAATGTTAAAACTCTTCCAAAAAAAAGGAGTACTGTACCTCTTGCAGGAAGCGTGATGATCACGTGATGCCAGTGCGGAGACTCTTTCGGCACTAACATTGCACATGCTCAGGACAAAGTCTGCAAAACGATCATGTGATGTCAACGTGTACTCCTTTGTGCACCGATGGAATCGCATTATAGCCAACACAAGTGCATGTTTTACAGGCAACACAAATTCCCCTATTTGTCTGTCACGTTATAGCCAATTCGCTTTGTCGGAACACGTGATACAGCAGAACCCCCTGTAAAGCCTTTGATAAGGTTCCACATGATAGACAAATTCAGTAAGTTTGGCAACTGGATACAAAATTGTCTTTATGAGACAGAGTGGTGGTGAAGAATTGTTTCTCAGATTGGAGGCCTGTGACAAGCGGTGTTCCACAGGGATTGTTACTGGGTCTACTTTTGTTTGTCATTTATATAAATGAATAGGATGAGAATATTGGAGGCATGGTTAATAAGTGTGCAGGTGACACCAGAATTGGTGGTATAGTAGACAGTGAAGAAGATTATCTAAGATTACAAAGAGATCTTTATCAATTGCGCCAATGGGCTGAGGAGTGGCAGATAGAGTTTACTTTGGATAAATGCGAGATATTCCATTTTAGTAAAACATACGAAGGCAAGATTTACACAATTAACGGTAGGGTCCTGGGTAGCGTTGTAGAATAGAGAGACCTAGGGTTTCAGGTACATAATTCTTTGAAATTTCCATCACAGGTAAACAGGGTGGTTAAGAATGCATTTAGCACGCTTGCCTTCATTGCTCAGACCTTTGAATATAGGAGTTGGGACTTCATGTTGAGGTTGTACAGGACATTGGTGAGGCCTCTTCAGGAATACTGTGTGAAGTTCTGGTCACCCTGTTATAGGAAGGATATTATAAGCTTGAGAGGGTTAAAAGATTTACCAGGATATTTACCAGGACTTTTTTACCTGGAGTGTAGGAGGTTGAGTGGTGACCTTACAGGTTTATAAAATCATGAGGGACATAGATAAGATGAGTAGCAAAGGTCTTTTCCCTAAGGTGGGGAAGTTCAAAACTAGGAGGCATATTTTTAAGGTGAGAGGAGAAAGATTTAAAAAGGACATGGGGGCAATCTTTTTACTCAGAGAATGGTTAGTGTGTGGAATGAACTGCCAGAGGAAGTGGTGGATGTAGGTACAATTACAATGTTTAAAAGACATTTGGATAAGTACATGAATAGGAAAGGTTTGAAGGGATATGGGCCAAAAGCAGGCAGGTGGGACCAGTTTTATTTGGGAACATGGTTGGCGTGGACTAGTTGGACCAAAGGGTCTGTTTCCATGCTGTATGACTCTATGATTCTATGACTCTAGTTAGATGTACTGCCCAAAATCCTGTCCCTTACTTGTGTTTTATTGGAGAGCTTTCTACATAAAATGTTTACTTGAAACTTAAGAAAAACTTTAAAGTGCAGAAAATAGACGACAGAACAGGAAACAACTGAAATTATCTTGTAGAGATATATCAAAGCAATTCAGCAGATGGATTTTGAGAACTTGTTATTGATACATCTGGTTTACTAAAGTAATCAGTGTTATTGCAGGTTTTATATTTTTTTATTGTCTAGAAACATAGAAGTTAGGAGCAGGAGTAAGCCATTTGGTCCTTCAAGCCTGCTCCGCCATTCACTATCATCATGACTCATCCTCCAATTCACTACACTGTCTGCGCTTTCTCCCCGTACCCGTTTTTCCCTTTAGACCTAAGAACTCCTTTTTGAATATTTTCAGTGTTTTGTCCTCAGATGTTCTCTGTGGAAGAGCATTGCAGAGGCTCCCCATTCTCTGAAGAATTTTCTCCTCATCTCAGTCCTAAATGGCCTACCCTGTATCCTTAAACTATGACCCCTGGTTCTGGACTCCCCAGTTATTGGGAATGACCTTCGTGTGTTTATTTTGTCTACTCCTGTCAGAATAGGTTATATGTTTCTATGAGATGCCCCTCATTCTTCTAAACTCCAGTGTGTGTGGTCCTAACCTATCTCGTCTTTCTTCATACGCCAATCCTGCCATCCTAGGAATCAGTTTGGTATATCTTTGTTGTACCCTGTCCATGGCCAGACTATCCATCTTCAGAAAAGGAGACAAAAACTGCACACAATAGCCCAGCTGTGGTCTCACTAAGGCCTCTACAATCACAAGACATCCCTGCTTCTCTACTTGAATCCTCTTGCTGTGAAGACCAACATAACATTTACTTTATTCACCACCTGCTGCACTTGCATGCTTACATTCAGCAACTGGTGTACAAGGACACCCAAGTCTAGTCGCTGCTCCACCTTTCCTAATCTATCATCATTCAGATAATAACCCATCTTCTTGTTTTTACTACCAAATTGAATGATTTCAAATGTATCCACGTTATACTGCATCTGCCATACATTTGCCCACTCACTCACTTTGTCCACATTACAATGAAGCATCTTTGCATCTTCCTAACTATCTTTGTGTCATCTGCAAAGTGAGATATTATATTTATATAATATTATTGTGAATAGCTGGTGTCCAAGCACTGATCCCTATGGTACCTCACTAGACACTGGCTGCTACTTGGAAAAAGACCAACTTATTTTTTCTTTGTTTCCTGTCTGCCAACCAGTTCTCAGTCCATGTCAGTACAATACCCCCAATGAGATGCACTTTAATTTTACATGCTAATCCCTTATATAGGTCCTTATCAAAAACCTGGAAGCTCAAATAACCACATCCATTATCTCCACTGCTTCTTGCTTAATGCAGAAACATTTTTTGCAAAAAGAATGCTACTTGGAATGAACTAAGAATTTATTCTGCCATTATATGTAAATTATAAATTGGTAGGTTCCTAGATATTAAAGACGTCAAAGGATATGAGGAAAATTGCAGGAGGTAGGAGATCAGGCATGATCCTATTGAATGGCAGAGCCGGTTCAAGGGGCTGAATGGCCTACTTCTGCACCAATTTCCTCTCAGTAAAATTATGTTCTTCATTCTTCTTTTCCCTCGCAGACTGCTATCAAAATGGAGATCTCCTCTCACCAAGCCCGATTGCTTCAACAGTTAAATGAACAGCGCAAACAAGAAATGTTTTGTGATTGCAGCATCATTGTGGAGGGAAGAGTCTTCAAGGGTCATCGTAATGTTTTGTTTGCCAGCTGTGGCTACTTTCGGATGCTTCTCTTACATAACGCACAGGATGTGGGACAGCCTACGGTAGCAACTTTTGATGTCTTTTCTGCTGATGCATTTACACTTATTTTAGACTTCATATATTCTGGGAGGCTGTCCCTCACGAGCCAAAATGTGATTGATGTGATGTCAGCAGCCAGCTACTTGCAGATGACTGATGTGATCAGTGCCTGCAAAAGCTTCATCAAATCCTCTTTGGACATCAGTGAGAAAGAGAGATACTTCAATCATTCCAGTAATGGTGAGAATAAGTGTGGGGATGTGTCATCTTTGTATACCAGCAGCCGAGGCCTGGAGACTAACTCTATTCATGTTCAAAAAAACACTGATCAAGGGTCTATTGTTGGGCATTCCTGGAGAAACTTCAACTTTCATCAACAAGTTGCAAACCTCCAGCATTCTCCAAGAGACCATCTGCCAAACTCCTTTGTGAATAATCGAGCACATCAGGAAGTACCTGAACTTTCTGTTTTCAAAGTCAGTAATCTGTGTGGTTCTGGTGTGACTGCCAGAACATCTGAAAACATCAACACTATTTCTCAAGTTGAGGAAAAAAGAACATCAGATTCTGAACTGAGTGCCCCTCATGTGAGTTATCAGTTCAGGCATGAGCCAGATGTTTTACCCAGGGACTGGCCATTGCCACGACGAAACGGTGACTCAATACGGCAACCTTCACGAGGTAGAGGTCGAAAAGCTGAAGATTGGTATCCTCCAATGCCTACAATTTTGGAAGTTGTGGGTGACTGGAGTGGAGAAGGTGCCGGTAAAGTGGTTTATATCTTTGTGTCAGAATGGGATGGAGGGCATAGTTCTAGTGTGTTTCAGTGTCTGGCTATTTTTGTTTTCTTTATCTAGTTTCACTGCTATCTGAAGACAATATAACCTACATGTATGAAATCAAATCTGTAAATTTGCTGCATATTAGAATTTCAATAAGTGTCCAGTAATTTGATAGGCACTGCTGCCATTTTAATTGATTGCTAATTGCAAATTTCAGATACGCAGGAGGAAAAATGGTAAGGTGCACTGTGCTGTCCGTTTCTGTGTGAATTGAAGAAATGCAAAAGTTTGTGATGGGAATACAACGTAAGTTTAGCTTCCTTAGGTGGAATTCCTGGAATAAGAAAAACCTAACAATTTAAATGCCACGGACATGCATTTTTAATATAACATTTATACTTACATTCACTCATCTGGTCACATGCATATGTAGAACATTGTCAATATTTGATAATGGGCAGCACGGTGGCTCAGTTTTTAGCACTGCTGTCTCACAGCGCCAGGAACCCGGGTTCAATTCCACCCTTGGGCAACTGTTTGTGTGGAGTTTGCATGTTCTCCCCGTGTCTGCGTGGGTTTCCTCCCACAATTCAAAGATGTGCAGGTTAGGTGGATTGGCTGTGCTAAATTGCTTATAGTGTTCAGGGATGTGTAGATTAGGTGGGTTATAAGGGGATGGGTCTGGGTGGGATGCTCTGAGGGTTGGTGTGGACTTTCTGGGCTGAAGGGCCTGTTTCCACACTGTAGGGATTCTATGATCCTATGATCTATGATTTTAATTTCTGTATAAGAAGGTTGAACTGAACAATTGCATTTTTTCCAAGGAGATTGCAATATGTTACCAAAGATGAGATTCAAGTGCCCATTCTGTACGCATACAGTAAAGCGGAAATCTGACTTGAAGCGGCATCTTCGATCACATACAGGAGAGCGACCATATCCCTGTGACTCCTGTGGGAAGAGATTCACACGGCTTGAGCATCTCCGTAGCCATGTCCTAACTGTAAGTGTGAAGACTTGTTGCAGTTTGAGATTGCAAATTATTTACAGTTGCAATGTTTGTCACAGAATAAGCACATCTTGAATTCCTGTAATTTATGTAGGACCAGTATCTGTTATACAATTATTTAATCAGTAAGCTGGATTGGGGAAAAGTATGACTGATTAGTACCAGAACTACAACTTGGATGAGATTAGGCATTGACTTGTGGAACACCTCATCTTCTTTCGTTTTTTCTTCTACAGGGTTTTTAAACCCAAATTTGGTAATTTAAAACTCTACATTCATGATTGACTTATTTTTCTGTCCTGCTATCCTGTTTGATCTGCACTTCTGCTTTAGACTCTCAATAAAAAAAAAACTCACTTAGCATTATTCATTCATTCATATGTGCTTTGCTGAAGTAAAGGATGTTGGCTGAAGTCTGATGTATCATCTTGAGCTGTTTTCTTGGCAGTTTTTGCCAGTAGTGGTTCAGAATTCTCTTCCACACTTAGGGGCAGGGCGAAGAGGCAAGCCCAAAATCTACCTCAGCTGGAAGAGGAATCAGTCTGCACTCTTGTTATTATTTGAATTATAGGCTAGCTAATGGGCCATCTATATTTGTACAAAAAAGACAGACAATAATAGATGTCCATTAGATTACGGATGATTTATGATTAAAAGCTTCTAAAACTGAAAAAAACTTTGCTTTCGTTCAACCTTGAGCAATTTCAAAGCTTTGGCTCTAAATACTATATATGGTAGATCTACTCCCATTAGTAGAGATGGAACTGAACTTGAAAGTTATCTTGCTGATTTTCAAAAAAGAATTACAATTGCTTTACTGATGAGTGTTTGATACGGTCAATGTTTTATATAAATTGCAATATTGGGAATACATCACTTGACCCCATTCCCCAAAACATTACAATTAACATAATGGAACAGACGTGAATGTGTACAATGAGCTCTTTGAAATATACAGGACAGAAGATGCTATTTGATCCACTGTGCTTGTGCTGGCTTTTTGGTAGCACTCTCAAAATAGCCCAGCTTCTTTGTTTTCTCCACAGCTCAAGTTTTGTTTCCTTCAGGTATTTATCCACTTCCCTTGGGATTGTTACTCCCCTTCCAGTTCACAGTAGTTCACTGCATTTAAAAAAAAAAGATTGCTCAAGTCATCCATGATCTGTTTTGTCAATTCCTTTAAATCTGTCTTCCAGTTTCCAATCATTCTGCTACTACAAAGAAGTCTTTATCAATCCATGATATTATGTATGGCTTCCATTTTCCTCCTTTTTATATTTTGTTTGAACTTTTCCTAGATCCATAAATCTGGAAAGCTGGTTATCTGCAAGGTCTGCAGGAAGCCATTCACCGGCATTGCAGCTAAAATTGTGCAACATGATGGCAAGTGCTATGGACTGTGCAATAACTGTGCATGTCTGATGAACTCCGGTCATGATGATGAGCCTATTGACCTGGAAGCACAGCCCGAGCAGGATCTGGAATTTCAGGAAAGTGACAAAGAATCTGGCTGGATGTCCACGGAGCCAGATGGAGAGACTGAGATCCTGAGTTCAGGGGGCGAGGGTTCAGGAAGCAACGAAGTTCATGCAGTACAAGAAATCCTGGACGATGCAGACGAAAAAGTCCAAATTTATGAGAAAATTGAGAATAGTGACTGAGTAAACAAATTCCAAGTCAGATTTTTCTTTAAACAGGAAGTAAACATACAATGGTTATTGAGGAGTTCCCGAGACAGATTCCAACGATACCTACATTCCTTTGCTTAACAGAGAGTTAAAGGCAGCAATCATATATTTGTTCCTCATTCCTCTTAAATGGGGTGAGGGGTGAATACTTCAACAAAATATCCAGTTACTGTTTTAAAACAATTGTTTTGATGTTATGTGAAGAATATTAAAAAGAAAGTGAATCTTCAGGATGTGATTGGAAGAAATCTTTCTCTGGATTTCCTTCATGCTCAATAGTAAAAACAAAATGCAGCTATCAGAGAGCCAATTGTCTTGGCAAACTGTCCTGTCTAATATTGTACATAGGTAGTAGATATTCAACACCAACATTTTGTACTCAAAAGTGGTCCTGGAATTGTACTTTTATTATTTATTCATGGGAAGTGTGAGTGTCGCTGACAAGGCCACCATTTATTGCTCTTGTGTTATATTAAAAGCAAGTGTGAACCAATATAAAACCCATGTTTTGCCTTGTTTTAGAAAAGTAAGCATTTGTGGAAAGAGAAAGGTACACGTTACTATCATTTTAATTCCAATGTGTGTGGTGGTGCTGCTGGCAGCCCTAGTTTGTTTATCCATTGAACTCTCAATCGAATCGATCTTTCATATTTCAGATAGAAACTCCTCAATGGCAGGAATTAGAGCAAACCTCATTTTAATTTACTTATCATTGTTGCCAAATCAATATTTTTCAGCATACTTCCTCCAAAGGTTCACTTTGCTTGAAATCATACGATTTACTTTTTGGTCATGTGAAATATAGAGATTAAATATTCCATGTCATTATGTACTTTGCTTCTCAGTTTGTTAAAGCAAATGATGCTCATTCTCTTCAGCTTTAGTTAAAAAAGTCTTTACCACTCTCATGTTCTGATATATTGGGGCATATAAAATATCTTTGGTGTTTGGACTCCTTGGAGTTCAGAATTATAGAATTCACAAGCAAAACAACAATTTACATTTCATACAGTGCCTATAATAAGGTAAAACTCTTTGCCTTAGTAATCAGTAACTCATAGTACAAGAGATTATCATTATTACACTTTCTTCTCATGGCCTGGTGTTTTTAGATATCCTGCCACTATTTCTAGATTTGGATGTGGAATCTTGCTAGAAATGGTCTCTCTGATTATATGCCTAAACTTCAGATTATAGTGCCCATTCAGGTGGCTCTCTGAGCATCGGTATACAGGAAAAGGAAAGGTACATGTTACTCACTGGTCCGCAGGTAGGCAGTATGGGATTTATGTTTTGTATTTTGATGCAAAGAGGACTCAATTTACATAACTGTTTGGGGAGATGAAGGTAAGAAATTTGGTTTTAAGTGATCATGAATTAAAATTTTGTGGTTCAAGTCTTAACATAAGGCTGATCCAGAACAGTTATGTGCTATTGCAATGAATAGAATTTTTTTTAATGTACATGTTTGCTTGGATTTTATCTTGCAGGATTTGAAGGCTCACTCCACTATGATATGGTTTATTACTTTTGTATGACTGTGTACTTTGAAATCTTCAAAATTAAACTTAATGTTCTGTTTTGGGACTAATTAATTAAGTTAGATATGGATTGAGTGGGTGTGCTGAATGGTTACATACATTTGAGTGTAATAGCAGATCCAGCACAGTTTTATGCTATTGCAATGAATGGAATTTTTAAAAATGTACACGTTTGCTTGGATTTTATCTTGTAGGAGTTGAAGGCTCGCTCCACTATAATACGGTTTATTACTTTTGTATGATTGTGTACTTTGAAATATTGAAAATTAAACTTAATGCTCTGTTGTAGGACTAATTATTTAAGTTAGGTATGGATCGAATGAGTGTTCTGATTGGTTACATACATTTGAGTTTAATGGCTGAGACTCGTATTGTATTATGTTAGCTTTAGAATGACAGTGTTATTAAATCATGTCCAAGTTGTAAGTCCAAACAATTTTCTTTGTACTTTGGAGGCCAGAAAAACAGAGTGTAAATAACTGACAAAATAAATTGAACATTTTTTCACAAATTCTGTCAAATCCATAAAGTAATTGTGTGTTCTGGTGATTTCGTTATCAGTTCAGCAGAAGTGACTATTGTGGATCAATTAGCTGCAGTACAATTGTTACATATTTGAGGTTATCACTATTTGGTCTCATAGCTCCTTAGTTTTGTTACTAATTTTCTTTTCATTCATTCATGGGATGTGGAAGTTGCTGGCTAGACCAGCATTTATTGCACGTCACTAATTACTCCAAAGCAATTATGTGTCAACCACATTGCTATAGGTCACATAGACCAGACCGGTAAGGATGTGGGAATTTCCTCTACTAAAGGGCATTAGTGAATTAGGTGAGTTTTAATTCCAGATCTATATTGAATTTAAACTTCCCCATCTGCCATGGTGGGATTTGAACCAATGTCCTCAGAATATTAGCCTGGAGATCCGGATTAATAGGTCAGTGACATTACAACTCCATGCTAGTATATTGCCCCCAGTCCCATGCTCTTTAATTTTGTTTACTAATCTCCTGTATGGGACATTATCAAAGGCTGTCTGAAATTTAAATCATACCACAACCATTGGTTCTCCCTTAAGGACTCTGCTTATAGCATCCTCAAAACCTCTTATCTGGTTTGTCAAACACAAATTTCCCTTCATTAATCCATGTTGATTCAGTGTTATCATATAATTTTTACATAAATATCCAGTAATCGCATTCCTTTTAATAGATTCTTGTACTTTCACTAGTACTGACTTGCAGCTAACAGGTCTATAGTTTTCTCTCTCTCTCCTTTTCTTAAACAGTGGTGTTACATTTACAATCTTCCAGTCTGCTGGCACCTTTGAGGAATTAATAGAATTATGAAAGATGATCAATACATTCACTATATCTGTAGCCATCTCTTTTAACACTCTAGGGTGAAGGTCATTGGGTCCTGAGGACTTGTCAACTTTCAGTCTCATTAATTTTTTCAATACAATTTTTTCACTCGGACTAATTAATTTCAGTTTCACATTCCCATTGGACCTTGGATCTTTATTTCAGGCAGACTCATTGTTGGTTCTGTCTTCACACTGAAGACACCCTCCATTGTTTGGTGTGGCACTAACTGGTATTGATGTCACACAGATGAATAACTTGAGACTAGGCATTGATGAGGTACTATGGGCCATTGGCAGCAGCAGAATTTTACTCCTAACATAATCCGCAACCGCATGAGCTGGCATATGCCCAATCTTACCATTAACATTAAGCCAGGGAATTAACTCTGGTTCAATTAAGAGTACAGGAGGGCATGTCAGGAGCAGCACCAAGCAGATGTAAAACTTTGTCAACTTGGTGAAGCTACAAAATAGGACTACTTGTGAGTCGAACAGCATAACCAGCAATAAGGGTTAAAGAATTCCACATAAAAACTGAAAGAACTGCAGATGCTGTAAATTAGGAACAAAAACAGAAGTTGCTGGAAAAGCTCAGCAGATCTGGCAGCATCTGTGAAGAAAAAAATCTGAGTTAACGTTTTGGGTTCAGTGTCCAGTGACAGAACCGGATTCTGAGGGATGGTCACCGGACCCAAAACATTAACTCTGATTTTTTTCTTTACAGATGTTGCCAGACCTGCTGAGCTTTTCCAGCAACTTCTGTTTCTGTTAAAGAATTCCACAGCCAGCAGATCAAACTTACGCTCTGCAGTCCTTCAGTATCTAGTTATGAATGATAGTGGACAATTAAACAATTCACTGGACAGTCGGACTTTACAAATATTGCCATCCTCAATGATGGGGAGTCCAGCAAATCAGTGGAAGGGTTAAGGCTTATACATTTGCAAAAATCTTCAGCCAAAGGTGTCAAGTGGATGATTCATTTTGACCTCTTCCAGAGGTTTTCAGTATCACAGATGCCAGTCTTCAGTCAATTTAATCCACTCCTAATGATATCAAAAAAGAGCTGGGGGCAGTGAATCCTGTAAGCATTCCAACAGTAGTATTGAAGAAGTATGCTTCAGCACTTGCAATGCTAAGCTGTTCCAGTACAGCTATAACATAGGCAATTTTCCACTTTGCTATGTAGATGCCAAGGTATGTCCTATATACAAAAAGGGAACAAATCCAACCCGGTGAATTGCAACCACATCAGTCTATTCTTGATTATCAATAAAGTGATGGAACGGTCATCCACAGTGCTATCAAGCAACACTTGTTTAGCAATAACCTGCTCACTAATGTAGAGTTTACATTGCACTAGGGCTACCCAGCTCCTGACCTCATTACAGTCTTAGTTCAAACATGGATAAAAGAGCTGAATTCCAGAGGTGAGGCAGAGGTTATTGCCCTTGACATCAAGGCAGCATTTGACTATGTATGGCATAAAGGAGCTCTAACAAAACTAGAGTCAATGACAATCAAGAGGAAATAATCACTGTTTGGACACAAAGGAAGATGGCATCGTTGTGAGAGGTCAGTCATTGTCAGCTCCAAGACATCTCTGCAGGAGTTCCACAGGATGGTGTTCTAGCCTCAACCATCTTCAGCTGCTTCATCAATGACCATCCCTCCATCATAAGGTCAGAAGTGGACCTGCTTGCTGATGAATGCCCAGTGTTCAACACAGTCTGACTCATGTTCAGCACCACTTGCATAACTCCTCAGTTCCTGAAGCAGCCCATGTTCATAAGACTTAGACAGTATCCATGTTTAGGCTGACAAGTGGCATTTATGCCTCACAAGTACAAATCAAGGCCATTGTTAAACCCAACATCTTATGGCAACCCTGGTTTCCAACCCCCTTTCTCGGTGATCAGTACTTCAGGCTAGTCTGTCTCTCTGGCATTCTGCTTCTGAAGTGAAAAGGCAAACCAATATGATCTTATTAGTCAGATCTGCTGCTTGGCACTTTTTAATGGCCATTTAAAATAATTACTTATTTAAATTATTGATTTATTGCTTTGCAAATGGTTTCCTTTTCCTGAAATTCATGTTCGCTTGTTATCTTTCCATAACGTGTTCACCACAATCCCCCAGTCCCAAGAGAAAAATGGAAAGTGGCCTTCCATGTGAAAACCTGGCTTTGCCTTCTTGACAGTGTGTTGGTGACATTTATTTGTGAAGAGACATTGGTTAAATGAAGTAGGCGTAATTTCAATGCAAACATTCTTAGCTTCCCAGCAGATCCCAAGAAAAATCCTTATTAAAAATACATTTTAATGTAATATAACAATCAATTCTAAATGGGAAGAGGGTATGTTTTCTAGGGCAGGACTTTGGAGAAGGAGGGAGTGTGTGATGGTATCTATTTTGAGGCTTATGAAGCATGCATCACAATTAACATTAGGCTGAACAAAGCGCGGTGTTACCTAGTTATGACATTTAGGGTGAAAAAATGACATCTCATAAGATGTCTTTACTCATCGAGGAAGGCATTTCATCTTTAAGGCTAATTTCTGCCTGACGATCATAATTAGTTGCAAACGTTCAATGACGCTAAGAATCGCTAACAAAAGGTTGGGATGCTGTATAGTTATACCAGGAGCCTGGAAACAGATAAGAGGGTCTCACAAAATTTATAAAACGGTAATATTTATTGCATCAGAGATAGTAGGAACTGCAGATGCTGGAGAATCCGAGACAACAAGGTGCAGGGCTGGATGAACACAGCAGGCCAAGCAGCATCATAGGAGCAGAGAGGCTGA